TGCAGGGTCCTCGTCCAGTACACCATTACACACCTGAAGCCCACCACTAGCATTGGCAAGCTGGAACTTATGTCCAGCAGAATTTAAAATCAATACAACTTGCATATTGTCTTCGTCTCTTCGACATCAACCCTCATTTTCACCTCGCAATCCAATAACCTCATACAAGCTGTCTCCATTACACAAGCTTTAACGTTCCTCTGACAAAGCGAAGCATGTGAATTAGCCATATTAAAATCAGCCTCGGGACCTATACCAACATCACGTTCTTCTTTAGCAAATGGAACAACGGCTGCTCTCTAGTATTAAATTCGAAAAATTCTAAAAAATTTCGGTTAATTCAAAAATTAACCGAATTAACCGAAATTTATTCGGTTCGGTTAATATTTTGAAAAAAATTTGGTTCGATTAACGGTTAAAGAAAAAAAAATCGGTTAATGGTAGTTCGGTCGGTTCGGCCACCGAATTAACCGAATGAACATCCCTACCAATACCAGTTTAAATAAACGTTTATGCTAAACGGGGATACCCGTTTCCCCGCGGTTTTCCCCGATTACCTGATGGGGATCCCCGTTTAAATCCTCGCAGTTTTTTAAACGGGGATGGGTACCGATTTTTTAAACGGGGACGAGGACGGGGGGACCAATACCCGGCCCGAACCTGGCCCGTTGCCATCCCTAGGTGTTATTTACTGGTTGAAAGGATTATTGTATTAATTTCTCGGTTGAGAGGGAATTGTGAGAGAGTTTATGGGGAGAGGGCTATTTATAACCGAGAGAGGATGCTTTAAAGCCGAGAAGTTCGGGTAAATTATGCAAGGCGCGATCCTTGCACTGCGCCTTGCATTATGCATGTCTGATAATTGAGCATGTGATAATTGAAAAGTACGGCCCCTGCCCCGCACTGTAGCCCTACGTGGCGTAAGGCGCCGCAGGGGCCACGCTTTAGACACGTGTGTCCATGTCAGCATAAGGCGCGCTGCAGGGAGCACACCTTATCCCACGTGGTGCCAGATCAGCGTAAAGCGCGCTGCAGGGGGCGCGCCTTACTGCAAAGGGTGTTAGATATGGAAAATAGTCTAAATGGTGTCTGACAGAGAAATATATAGGGTATAGGTGATTTTTCGATAAAAACGCTTAATTCTAGAACAAGTACTTAATCTCTTATTTGAAGGCTTGAAAATAAATAATTTAAAAGTTAAAAAAGGAAAAAAATCAAGACAGATTTGGATGCTGGGGTTGGGATAGTTGGATCTGGATAAAAAAATTAAAAGTCTATTTTTTTAATTTTCTGATAATTCAAAATTGAATTTCACCTATTTATATCTGATTTGATTATTTATTTTTTTTAGATATTTGATTCGAATTATCTAAAAATCTAAAAAAAATTGAAAATCTATATTTTAGATCAAATTAAACGATCAACAGATAGAATCGATTTTTTTTACACACTCGTATAATCTATATGATAATCAATGAAGTTGGATATTTTGAGTTGGATGGCAGATATTTGAAGGACGGACAGAGTCTTATCCTCAATCGTCTTATAGAATCGGCTCTCATCTACGGTCTATTTATTCTCAGCAGCCGGCTAAGTGTCGACATCACTATGAGATAAAAAGGTTGATAAAATCGCAAATCAATTTCAACATTGTTTGGTTCTGCTAAATCCAAATCAAATTTAGAAAATAAATAAATAATATTAAATAAATAAAATATTAAATAAAAGCCAATTTCAATTTTATATATAAAATAAATAATATTATCTCATCATGTTATATATATAGAATCCCAGGTGATTCGTTACCTAAAAATTAAAAAAAAATATTTTATTAATATTTTTAAAAAACAATTTAAGCTTTTTTAATATTAAAAATTAAATTTAAATGAAAAATAAAAGTTAATTTAATAAAAAAAGTTTAAACGAGTTAAATTTACTTTTTACACTATTACATCATTGAGTATATTACTAATAAGGGTTTTAGTTTCTGAATTCTGCTAAAATAAAAGACTTAAAAAAATCTAAAACAAGATGATTGTGATAAGGAGATGGGGTTGCTGTTTTGCTTTAATAACTTAAATCATTAAATTTAATAACTTTATTTATTTGTCGCTGAAACTTGTGTTAACTTTTTGGCGATAGAAACTATTTGTTTTATTGACTGTTTTTTTCATGAGTTGGCAGCTTCTTTTAGGTTAAACTATTCGTATGATCAATTAATCATTATCCCTTTTCACTTTGATCATCAACTTTAAAATTTTATCAATTAGACTATTTAACTATTTAAGTGTTGCAATTAAATTACTGTTCCTTAATATTTAACGGACAAGTTAAAGTGATAAACTGGTAGTTAAAAATTCGCATATAATTACACAATTTATCCTTATTACTTACATATTCAATCATTTAGTCTTAATTTTAATAGATTAAAATAAATTTACTAATTGGATAAGATAATCTCATGTGTAATTGATGACACTTGTTAAGGATAGGGGATATGAATCTATGTTGCTTGGGGAAGCAAGTAGATGCTCAACCATTAAACCAACATAATTAATTGATTTAAAATAGATCATATATGATATATATTTTGCATCTTAATATATAAATATTTAACTTAAATCTATAATATTTTATATATTTTAACCTAAGTTCACATTTTAATTCTAAAAAATATAGTTTATTTAATCTTAAATAATTAAATATACAAGTTCAAGAATGTTACAGGTAATATAAATAAAGTCCCGACCATCATTGATATAAGAAATAAACTCACTGTGTCGGACCTTTCCTTTAATCTCTTAACTGATTGGAGCTATGAATCGGTCTTAGGATAGACATAAGTTCTAATAGAAGGGACATATAGACGATAAAAGATAAGTATACAACAAGCTAATGAGTAAGCACATAACTTAAGATCCTTCATCGTTCATAATTTTAGAGATGAACTCGATATTTTATATTGAGGAGAAAGAACATATAAAACTTTATAATGAAACGAATTTATAAATTTTAAAATGATAAAAAATAATTTTTTAATAAAAAATATAAAAAAATTATATCTTTTAGGAGAAATGACCTTCCTCACCCATCCTTGCACGATCCTCCACCCACATAAAAAATAGAAAATTATAAAGCCGAAATCAACAACCACCATTAACTATCAGCTCACTTGTTTTTTTTATTATCACTTCTATCAAACATAATATAAATATTGAATTTTAATGATTTAAGTTATTAAAGTTTTTGCATTCATATGTATAACTAGTTTGAGTTATACATTCTTTTAATCAATATTTTTAAAACAGGATCGGACCTTAAACCGGTAAAGATATTAGTTCATTGGTTTAACCAGGTTAAATCGGTTTATATAAAATAATATATATTTTTTAAAAATTTACATAATATTCAAAGTAATATATATATATATATATATATATATATAACACTCTTTTTAAGTTCACAATATTAAAAGGTATAAAAATATCACAAGTCATAACATATATAAGTTAAATATCATAATATTAAGTGAAACAAAATGATTCAAATCAACTACAACATAATATTTAAGGTCAATACCCAATGAAATTCACCAACAACTAAATAAAAAAAATACATAATTGATACAAGTATTAATCATCATAATATTAATTGAAATTGATTCCCTCAAATTCCAAAATATTGACAAAATCAAAAAATAAATTTAGGGCTAAAAAAATCATAACAAATGACGTCGTTTGGTTTATTTTTTTTTTATAAAAAAACAGATTCAAGAATTGTACCTTAAAGGAGATAGGATAAGCCAAATTCTCGACTACTTCCACTATTTCGACAGATTCAGTCCCCATACAAAAGATAGTTTCCTGATTAAAGAAACAGAAAATTACTTAACAGTTAACAGAATGATAATATTCTCGGAAAAAAATGTGAAAAGGGTTTATTTCTAAGAGTAGCTTTACCGTGAAACTTCCAACCGATATATCTTAATCAGGATTTTTGTATGTACCCCACCCACCTTAAAAAAAAATTGTCCATATTATATATAAGCATGCTTAATCATGATGAACAATTATTAAGTGTGCTTTTGAATTTTGAAACAGAATCGGATGAATCATCGGTTCACACCGATTTTACCTAATCTTTAGCGATTCATTGTAAAATTAGTTTTGGAGGCTGACCTAATCGGACAGACAACCAATTCACAGTTCAACCGGTCGAATCGACCGATCCAGTCCAATTTTGATAACATTACTTTTAATTGTACAATCTAATTAATCATTCAAATAACATAAAAGGTATATATCATTCTAAATGTTTTGTGTGCACTATTTTTAATCAAATATTGAATATAAGTTATTCTTTAAAGAAACTTTTTGAATTTTTCCTCCGCTCTACTGTATAGGAGTAGAATAAATGTCTTTACTTATCAATATTCAGTTGATTTAGTAAAATAAGACATTAATTTTTTAAGTAAAATTAAAAATTTAAATTCTGATAATTATGTATGAAGTAAATTGAGTTTGGAGAATCTTACCTCTGCAATATACAACCCAAATTAACTATTAATATATTGAATATCAATTATTATAAAAGAAATTTCTTAATTAAGTTGGGGATAAAACCAATTTCTTAATTAAGTTGGGGATAAAACCTATTTCTTAATTAAGTTGGGTATAAAACCTCATAATGGTGAGCGGCGGAGAAGAGAATGGATAGCAAGCAGGGTTAGAAGCGTAATTTACAGAGTTTCAATAATGATTATATGGGCATAGATTCAATGCGGTAGGGTCCAGGGAGAAACTTTGCATTTTATAATTCCAATAAAATAAAAAACCTTAAAAGAAAGAATCTTTTATCTTTTGGACTCCGTCATCTCTCATTCTCTCATCCAATTCCTCACCTTGTCGGTTTTTTGCTTACTCTCCCCTCATTTCCTTCCATCTTTCGTTCTTTCTGTTTCTTCGCTTCTTCTTTTAAATTTCTGTTTTAGATCTTTCAAATTTTTTAAAAAAAACTTCAAATTTCTAAGATTATCGTGATTCTCGACAGACTAGCCTTGATCGCCCGTGATCGCCTATCGAAAACGATCTTCGATTCTTGAATCTTGATCTGTATACTTTTTTGTGCCTGTTTCGGAAACCTTTGATTCTGTTGTGGATCTGTTATCTATCGTTTTTTTTACTTTAATTGATTCTTTAATTTTAATGACTTTTAACTTGTGTTTAAATTGTAGGATCATTCATCGTCTTTAATATAAAAAGAATATTGATTCTTTTAAGTTTCTAAATTGGGAGTTCAATTGGGAAAAAACATAAGCAAAAATAAACTGCAAATTTCCGTTTTAATATTTTCTCCTGAGGATATTACAATATATGTAATTTATTTGTCTCTATTGTGGGGTAGGTTGTGAAAGTCTTCAGAGGAAAAATGGTTTCGTTGCAAGGACCGGTGGTTTGCCCTGCCGTTCGGAGCAAGCAATTTGGGGTTCATACTCCTCTGGTAAATGGCCTTTTCCCAAGGGCAAGATTTCATACAAGTGATATATGGGGATGTAGAGGGATAATTGAAGGAAATTATAAGTCGCGTGCTTTATTTCGCCAACTCGAATTACGCAAGTGCAGAACCACGGTGCAGTGCACTTTCAGCTCGTCTTCAGATGGGAATGGAAGCACGGCCGAGAATTTCAATGAAAATGATGAAGATTATGTTGATTCCAGTGTGCTTGAAGCTGGTAAGTGGATGCTAAATCAGTGACTACTTCATTATTGTTGTTGCCTTTTTTTATGAGATGGAATCTATTTATATAGACTTGTTAATACGTGGGAAATTAACTGAAGTATTTCGTAATTATTTGATATAGTTGAGGTGAGGAGTGGAGCTGATGGATTTATGGTCAAAATGAGGGACGGCAGGCATTTAAGATGCGTCCATAACAATCCTCAAGGCGGACATTTGCAGGATTATGCACCGCACCCTGCCATCGTTCTGAAGATGGAAGATGGGACTGGTCTTCTTCTCCCAATCATTGTTTGTAAGTGATCTTACATGCTCCGTGATTTTGTCTCTATTTATTAATTTTTCGATTCATATTTGACTTGAGTTGTGGTTTTTATGCAGTGGAGATGCCAAGTGTGTTGCTAATGGCAGCAGTGCGCAATGTCCAAATTGTATGTTATTGTTTTCTCTGCTCCATTGAGTCAGGATTTTTGTTTATTTTTACATTTTTTGACATTTTCGGTATATTGAATTTGGGTACTTGGTTTGTAGCAAATGTGAATGCTAATATATGATTTTACCATTGGCTCCAGGCTAGACCTACTATGTATCAAGTAGTGAAGGACATGATTGACAAGATGGGCTACCAAGTATGATTCCTTTTCTTCTTCCATCTCCATCATTTCAACATGTCTTTAATCCTTTGAGATCTGATTTCTTAATTGGTGATGTCTATCTTGTTATTCTCAGGTAAAGCTTGTCAGAGTTACTAAAAGAGTGCATGAGGCCTACTTTTCTCAGTTGTTCCTTACAAAGGTATATGCCTACATCAGCTTGAAAATTCATCTCTTTCACTCCTTTTCCCTTTTAGTGCATTTGTCCGACTTTTAACTCTGGGATATAAATATTCATGTAGAGTTGTATTCATTGACTATGTGGAATTGTGGATGTTCTAACAGGTGGGTGATGATTCAGCAGAGCCTGTCATTTTTGACCTTAGGCCATCTGATGCCATCAACATTGCTGTGAGATGCAAGGTACCCTTTATGTATCTATAGTTTGATTTTTTTTTTGGGATAACACAACTTTTAGTCCCAGACCTTGATAACTTTGACAACTTGGTCCTGAACTTGACAACTCATTTTTGGTAATTTTGATGATGTGGCACAATTTAAAGTGTAATTTATCAAAATGACCAAAAACTCTAGTTCAAGAACTAGGCACAACTAGCCTTGATAAAAAAACGTTTAGGGATCAACTCGGGAAAAGTTTGTAAGTTCAAGAACTAAAAGGTGACACACCACAATCTTAGCGTAACATCATCAAAATGACAAAAAATGCAGTTTAAGAACATGGACAAAAAAGAAGTTCATGGATCAAGTTGGGAAAAGTTGTCAAGGGCTAAACGTTATTTTATCCTTTTTTACCAAATAGTCGTAGGAGCATTTGACTGGTACGCTGGTAGCAGTGATGTGCTATAACTTTTTTACAACCGTATCTGCGGGCTTCATCAAGTGATACTTCTATTGTGACTTGTGAGGTCTTAGGTGGATGGTTTAGATGTCCATGTTGAAGCAGATTAACATATTTAACAGGTGATTGTTTTGACAGGAGTCTTTAAAATCTTGCTAGATAGTATCTTCTAACAGCTAAAAAGCAGATTAACATGTTTAACAAGTGTTTGTTTTGACACGAGTCTTTAAAATCATGCTAGATAGTATCTTCGAAAAGCTAAAATGTAAAAATGATTCATAATCAGCATTGATAATTTCAAAGACTCAGGTTGAGGAGAAAGAATACCGATCTGAGAAATGGTTTTGATTTGTCTCGAATGTCTATACTAGTTTAATGATTAAGGTCTAATGATATCTATGAATAGGTTGGGTCATTGTTAAAATTTCCTTCCCCTTCTAATTACTGTATAATCTTGAAAAGTGGTAGACGTCCTGGAAAATTGACTTATTATTGATTGATATGATGGTAGAACCTTTGTTATGACCTTACATTGGTTCTCTATTTCTTTTTGGTTTTTAGGCCACCTAAACTAGATTAGTTTTGTGAGCTTTGGTTTCATCATAAACTTTCATAAACCAGTTTTTGTTTTTACGTTCTGCATGATTAAATTAAGATATGGTCTAAACATAAATTTTCATATACATACTTCTCTGTTTAACTTGCTGAGCTGATTAATTCCTACCAAAATTTGAAAGTTCTTCAGACAATATGACACTGGAAGCCTACCTGATGTGCTGTGCAGGTTTCTATACAAGTGAATAAGTACTTGGCATACAGTGATGGGATGCGAGTGATTGAATCAGGGAAGCCATCAATGCAGTCTCCAGCTTCAGATGGGTTACTATTCACCGAACAGGACCGGTTAGTCTTGAAAGCTCTTTGGAGATGGTTTTTTGCTTTGCTTAGAGAATTGGACATTCGAACACTTGCAGTAGATTCTTGTTTCGAGTATGTGAAAATCTGGAATTACACATGCTTTGGTTTATGGTTTCAGGCCAAGTGGTCAGCATTGTCTTGATACGGAGGAATTTAATATGGTCTGCAACTTAAATGAGGCTATCAATCAGGAACGCTACAAGGATGCTGGTAATCTTCCTCTCACTCACAATCATCCATTAATCCCTGACCTATAGTATTTTTAGGTTGCTCGTCTCACTGACATGATCCATGCTACCTGTGATTATTTGATGATTTGCTATCTGATATAGGCGGCAATCGGCATAGCCTTTTTCTTGTATTCAAAGAGTAGTTCTATTTTATTTTATTTTTTTTTGATCCAAGGTGAAGTATATTTTATTTGTTGGCTGTAGTACAATCACGTCAAGGGCAAGATCTTAAGATCATTGGGTATATATGAAGCAATGTGTAGTGAACCATAATTGTAGCATGGCCACCGTCGTCTTTGGTCTGCATGGTTAATAACTTAATGATTTTGATCTGACAGCCGACTTGAGAGACAAACTTCGTAAGTTCCAGGCTCAAAGGAAGCTGAGGAAACATACATAACAGGTGATATATACCAAACCCAAAATAAGGTGCACCCTGGCCTGAAGGTGTAATTGTGATCCAGACCGGCTTGCCTGTTCCTTTTTTTCTCTGATTCGATATGGAGCAGACGGTAAACAGGTTTATTTATTTTTATTTTTTTGTTTCAGTTGTCCCTGGTGACTTCAAATATTGAAGAGAGTTATTGTTGGGAGGTGATAAACTAGATGGTGGGAGACTACATACAACAGTAACAGTTGTTTCATCCTCTACCAAATATAAAATGTACAAGTGAAGTCTGTGAATATTCATATATATGTATATATGTACAGTACAAACGCAGTTTAATATTGGTGATGTAATATAGGCACCTTGGTTTATGCTTATCAATTGATCATTGAGCCACTCATTATGGACAGATTGGTAATTTGCTTATTTGTTTGTCGGTTTCGGTTGTATGTGCATGTGTTTTTAGTCATTTAGCGTAAAACTGTTAATGTTCAACACGTTATACATTTTTTTCATGGATATCATATTTAAAATGAGTGTATATATGTATATAGTATCTCGAAGATCGAGATTTTGGACTTGGTTGTGGTGTTTTTTCTGTTGGGTTTTTTGTTCTCTATTAGTGATAAATATCAGTTAAAAATATTATTAGAGAAAGACATTGATTATTAGGGGACTAATGTTATTCATTAATTTTTTTTAAAAAAATTAAGAAATAAATAAAATATATGTTGTTGTTGTTTATTTGCAGTGCGATACTAATTTTTCGAGAAATAATTTTAAGTTATTTGATTTTTCTTTAAAATCAGTTGATGTTCATATAAAAAGAATGAATAAATGTTTGATGAAAAAAATAATACAGAAATGATATAGTAATGGCAAACCATCAAATGGGTCCCAGCAATTTAATATGAACGTCCTGGATAAACAAAGGCGTAAAGCTAAAAGAATTCCACTACTATGTTATTGAATTGTTTAAAAACTTTGCAGATTTTCTGTAAATTTTCTATTAATTTTTGCATTAAGTATAAATATATATTAAATTAGATTTTATTATTTGTTTTATGTTATATTATACGTGGGTTGTAATACTAATTTTATCAAATATATTGGTTTTTAGTCCTTTATAAAAACTTTCAAATTAATATGATGGTCCATTTAGAAAGTTTTAATCCAATTTTGCCCCCTCCAAATATTTCATCTCTTAATTTGATTATTTTAAGTTTATATATTTTAGTCATGTTATCTTTATATTCTTTGAATTAAGATTAAAATTTCAAAATTTGAAAAATTCAAGGATTAGAATTGATCAAATTAAAGTATGAGTAGTGAAGTCACAATCTATTCATAGTTCAAAGATTAATTGGAAAATTTGGCCTAATTTCTTTATGGATAACTCGAACCCAAATAAAACCTTGCTTGAGATTTTAAAAACAGAGAATGGAAGAATAGAATTCAAGGCGCTGACAAGAAAACGGGGACGTGTGAGCAATTCCCGCCAAACACGACGACATTTTAATTGCGCCACCTGTCGACTTTTCAAAGTGGGACCCTTCCGACGTTTTCAAGCAATAACGGACCCCACTGTTCCTATCCCTTCCCTTCCCTCCTCTCTTCACCTGTCGTTTGCTTCGCTCATAACCAAACATATACTTCTAGTTGTTCAATTCTCTCTTTACGCTTTTTCTCTGCTTTGCTTTATTTTGTTTGTTTGTTCATTTGAGGCTCCGAAGATCCACTTCGTTTAACTACTATTCCTTTTAGATCCCAGTAGTACTCTATAAATTCTTCATTACTCATTCATTTCATTTTTGGTTAATTTCTTATATTCTCTTTCTTGATCATTGGATGCACTTTTGACGACTGATCCTTGAACCATGTCCGGTCCTCTCGAACGTTTCGCAAGGCCTTGTAAGTCAATTTTCCTCTTCATAAATTCAAATTCTCTACCGTTTTGTTTCTATCAGTTATGAATATTCTAATTAATGTCTAAATTGTCGTTCAATTGTTTTCATGCTTATTAGTTTTCTTTGATTGATACTTGCTGTTAATTTTGTTTTAAGTCCGTTATAACCGGGAATTATAATTACAGCGTGTCGATTTAAATTCAGCTTTATTTGCTTTGTCGATCTACTTTTTTTATCATGTAGGTTTTGAAGGTAGTAATGAAGAAAGGAAAGATAGGAAATCGGATTTCGAAATATCTGAAGAAGATAGGAAGACTAGAATCGGGAATCTTAAGAAGAAAGCGATGAAGGCATCGAGTAAATTCAGACGTTCTCTTAAGAAGAAAAGTAGTAGTAGGAGGAAAAGCGATGTTTCTGTTTCGATTAAGGATTTCAGAGATATTGAGGAGTTGCAGGCTGTTGAAGCTTTCCGTGAGGCATTAATCGCAGATCAGTTGCTTCCACAGAGACATGATGAGTATCATATGCTACTGAGGTAGGCTGCATTCTTCTTTGTTCTACGAAGAATTGATTCAATGATTGTTTATGTATAGGATTTTTCCATTGGATAATATAAGTGATGCAAGTTTGGTTAGTTTCCTCTGTGCTTATGGAAAGTTATGCTTTTTGTCTCCCAATGGTGATTTCTTGCAGATTCTTAAAAGCAAGGAAGTTCGATATCGAAAAAGCAAAGCACATGTGGGATAATATGCTTCAATGGAGGAAGGACTTTGGTACTGATACTATTTTGGAGGTGATCTCATCTTATTGCATGAAATACTCATTATCTTTTTATCCGATTTTTGTTGATTACTGCGTTAATTGGTTGATTCTAAGTTTTGAGGGCGCAGGCAAGCACATGGCTAAATTTGTTTTCCAACTTGTTTATTCACTTATTGATGGTTTCATTTGGAGCAAATCAATGCTGCCTCTGAAAATATTATTTTTTATGGTTTAACCAGGATTTTGATTTCCACGAGTTGGATGAAGTGATGAAGTACTACCCTCAAGGTTATCATGGGGTGGATAAGGAAGGAAGACCTGTTTACATTGAATTGATAGGAAAAGTTGTACCTGACAAACTCATGCGAGTTACAACTTTGGAACGATATGTAAGATACCATGTGAAGGAATTTGAAAAGTGTTTTGCAACCAAGTTTCCGGCTTGCTCCATTGCTGCAAAGAGACACATAGATTCCAGTACAACTATTTTGGATGTTCAAGGCATGGTATGTTTTTATGCTGTTTATTAGATTTTATAGTCTTCCCCGGCATCATTTTATGTCTAAATTGTAGTAATATTTTATTAAATTTACATGTTTCTCATTCCCTGCTATTTTTCCTTGTAGGGTCTAAAAAACTTCAGCAAGTCTGCACAAGATCTTGTTAGGTGTCTGCATAAGATTGATGGTGATAACTATCCTGAGGTAGATTGTCCCAGTTCCAAATGTGCTCATACATCTTGTGAAAATAGCTTTTTGTTTCAGGATTGACAGAAATTTGTCAGGAATCAAAATCAAGGTTCTCTTTTGATCATCTTCTCTCTGCAGACTCTTTGCCGAATGTTTATCATCAATGCTGGTTCTGGTTTTAAGATGGCCTGGAAAGCTGTCAAATCTGTTCTTGATTCCAAAACAGCTAGTAAGATTAATGTAAGTCCAAAATTTCATATAGTTTGCCACCCCCTTCCTTTTTCCGAAAAAATATTCGTTGAGGTTTCAACTCATCAGTTAACAGAAGTTACCTCATTTCCAAAAATTCTCTCAGGTTCTTGGTAGCAACTGCCAGAGTAAGTTGCTTGAAATTATTGATGCAAGGTAACGAAATTTTTTGGGTTTGCATATATGCTGGTTAATTCACATTCAATTGTACTGCCGACTAAAGTTCTTTGTATCAATAAAATTTAGCGAGTTACCGCAGTTTCTTGGAGGTACCTGCACCTGTGCTGATCAGGGAGGGTGTATGAGATCAGACAAAGGTCCCTGGAAAGACCCCAACATATTGAAGGTCTGATTACGCTGTGATTAAATTTTCTCTGCTTTTGTTATTCCTTTCCTTTTTAGTGTTATCTCATATATGCTTTAAGTAATATGATTGAATGTTTTCATGAAGATGATTGAGGATGGTGAAGCACTATACTCCAGACAGATTGTGACAGTTTCAAATTGCGAAGGAAGGGTAATTGCCTATGGAAAGCCATGCTATGGTCACTAGATTGTCTTTCACAGTGCATATCATGCCTTTTCAGCTTTGAGTTTTATAATGTTAGAATTCAGTCAAACATTCTCTAAATTCTGCTTTTGTCAATTTTTCCCCATCCTCTGTAGATGAAGAGTAGCGACACATCTGTAGCTGAGTCGGGATCTGAAGTGGAAGAAATTGCTTCTCCTATCCCAACTAGAAACTATTTACATCCAATATTGGCTCCTGTCAGTGAAGAGGTATGTGCTTGCAAATTGCAATGAATGATTTTTGACTATTCAAGAGTGCTTAACTTGCCAGTAAATATGTGGTTACTTTGGTCACTATAAAATAACATCCTAATCTGGCTTAATGGGAGTATGTTTAGTCTCATGCTATAAATTCTTCAATCTTGCAATTGTAACAACATACTATGATGTTTGTTTAGGCTAGAATGGCTGGTAAAGCGACCTCTGCTGCCGGTTCATCCAGGTATGATGAAAATGTCCCCATGATTGACAAGGTTGTAGATTCGGAGAGTGAGATACAAGTGTCATGTCAGAGTCCATTTACTTCTGAAGGTTAGCAATATGAGCTGTTTCTAAAAGTTGTTCTTTTACTTGACCAATATGATTGGAGGAACTATTTTGTGTAATCAAACCAGAGCTCGACTATTTCTTGCTTTGTTTTCAAAAACATGACTTTGATGAAGTCCACTGGCTTCAATTGCAGGGAGTCCCATGCAACTGATAGAGCATGCTCCAAAAGGAATCTATGGTCATATCTGTGCTCTAGTTATTACTTTTTTCACCCTTTTTTCTCTTATCCGAATAATGGTGTTGCATATGATGAAGAAGCCTAGAGTTACTGATTTGACATGTAGCATTCCTGACCAGCATGTCGAATCTATGTTCAAGGACGAAACTCGTCCACCTTCACCTGCTCCTCCAAGGTTTACAGAGGCAGACCTCATTTCTTCTGTCGTAAGAAGGCTGGGTGATCTGGAAGAAAAGGTCGAGACGCTACAATCGAAAAGATTTGAGATGCCTCATGAGAAAGAGGAGTTGCTGAATGCTGCTGTTTGTCGCGTGGATGCATTAGAAGCAGAGCTAATCGCTACGAAAAAGGTAATCGTCCTCGATTCCGGCTTGAGTACAAATGATTTCTTGCTGGTAGTTTTTTCATGTGTTTTATTGGTTGTGTTTCTATATATAAACAGACTCTTCATGATGCCTTAACGCGGCAGGAAGAACTCCTTGCATACATTGATAGTCAAGAAGAAGCTAAGTTTCGGGTAAAGTCTAAAGATTATACTATCTCATTTATATAGTATATATAGGGCTAGGATCCAATTACGTAATATAAAACTTTTTAATTTTACTCGTTTTTAGGATTGTTGGAGGGGAAAAATCAAAGTTTAAGATTAATCTTAGCTTTTGATTTCCCCTCATCTTAAACTGGTGTAGAACTTTTGTGTAAATGGATCCTAACCCATATATATATACACGTATTGTATTTAAGTTCCATCGATGTATGTAATGTGGTTGATTTTAATTGGTTAGATAAATGATTGTATGTGTTATATGCATGCATGATGCAGAAAAAGAAGTCTTGCTGGTAAGATGAGAAATGAATTGGCGTTTTCCGGATTGGCGTTCAATACTTGCAAAAATGCCTTTGGACTGGTTGTTTTTGAGGTTTATTGCACATTTTGATTGTAATAATATAGTAATAGAATAAATACCACTTTTTCATTATCTCATAAATCACTGTGTAAGTTTAGGTCATCTCCAGCCCTCATCTCTACTCTACAACATCTCTATCTTTACTCTAAAGATAAAACAATAATTCATCTCCAGCACTATCTCTACAATAGAACCAACTTACTTTATTCACAATATTTAACTATTAGTATGCTTATTTATCTAATTTCAATATATTTTTATCTATCTTGCAATTTAATCTAGTTTAATTTTTATTTTATTGTGTAGAAATTATAATAGAAAACATAAAAGATAGAATAAGAGAATAATGTAATAAAGAAAAGGAAAAGAAAAAGAAAATAACAAAAAAAAGTAAAAAAAAAAACAAAATTATAAAAATAACAAAAAATAATAATATGTAGCACAACTACAGTGTAACTCTAGATGTAGAGTATCACTATAGCTTTTCTCTACTCTAGCGTTGAAAGTAGAGAAAGGTAAAATTGAAATTCATCTCCAAATTGAAGATTTTTTCTACTCTAGCGATGCGCTGGAGATGATCTTATATTTTATATAGATTTCGACCTTAAATTAATTAAAGTAAAAGATTAATAATTTAAATTAAATTAACAATAATTATATTAATTGAAATAGAATTTGACGGGGATATAAAATAATTTTATCAAAGACTCGTAAAATGTAAAATAATTTTATTACATATTTTTATTGGGTAAATTAGGAAGTATGTCTTATTAAAGATCTTTCTTATCGATAGGATAGCATCATTTTTCAAATCGCCGTACATCTTTTTTCTTTCGGTTATTCTAGATATAGCTTGAGCTTGTACTAGAATTGTTTTTAAACTTCTACTTTTATTTTCTGAATTTTCACATCATTATATTAATTTAAAATTAAAATGATTAATATGCAAATTAGAAAAACACCTAACAAGAACATTTGCGACATGTATGTCGGCGCTGAATAAGCATATCTTGTTCTGACAAAAAACCTATTCTTAGTGCAGCTTAATCATTGTATTATGATTTAGCACAATATTAAAATACATAAAATATCATGTGATAACATATGTGGACAGGAATTTATGTAAGATATTATATCAAAAATTAATATTAAAATTCAAAAACTGTAAACTTATAAAATATTAAAAATATAAAATTACAATATAAAATCACATGAAAATTTAATTTATTATTTATAAAAAAATACGCCTTCAGCTGAATCAGCTCCATCCACATATGGACAGAAAACCTGCACACAATAATCAAAATATATATATATGCCAAAATGAATCCAGCTTGTACTACAACAGTACAACCTTACCCCAATTGGCAATAGGGCAGAGGCTGCCCCTTAATCCAAGGGTTAGGGACATGGTTTCCATTTATGACTCAACTAATTCTACACTCATTGTTTGTGTAATAAATAGAATTTATAAAATATATTAAAATATACAAGAATACGAAATTTTCGAAAAAGATTATTGTCTCCATTCGCTCCTTGGGTCCATCAAAGATTGCGTTTTCATTCCAACAGAACCAATTTGTAATCTAGTCATTAGATCTGACAATTTGGTCATTACATAATTATGATAAAGCAACGAGAATACTGTATAAATACATGAAATTTTAGATTTATTATTTTCCTTTTAAAAAATAAAAAAATTAAAATATTCTATCACCAACTAAAGAAACATAATGGAAGGGGGGAAAAGTTGATACCTAAATAATTATATATTTCAATCGTATTATATATACGGGTTGGTATTTGTCTTTTTTAAGCAACTAATAGAAATGTATAATTTAAATAATAGGAATCAATTAAATTAAATTTTAGCTTAACTTCAAATTATTCTAAAAAATTATTATTTGATTATTTTTTTGATATAAACACTTATATATTAATTCATTGATTATCTAATTCAAAAATATATTATAAAGACATATCTATGAATACTATTCTCAATATAATTTGTTTCTTGTACAATATTAAAATTAAAATTTATAATCTTAATTAAGAACTTAGTGCCTTCGGTTCCTAAAGCAGATTCCTTTTAAAAGAACAATGGTGTTTATGGCAACAAAAAAAGAAGAGAACTTAGTGCCCTCATTTCGGCCCAAGATATTTTTACGCAGGGGTGTATTTGCAGGGATTACTTCCCATTACAGACGTGCATATGAAGACTGCATATGAAGATTGTCCAACTACGTATTTTATTTATTTATTTAAACATGCATTGTATTTTATCTTTATTTTTATTTTTTGACTGCCGGAGGTCTTCCACGGAAGGTGCTCTCAACCTGGCGTTTGGGGACAGCCTACTACGCTACCTCTCCCTTATCCCATTACATATGGGAATAGGGTTTTGTTGTTGTTGTTTCTTTTTTTCAAATTTAATATATGTTATAAATTTTTGGTGGATTAATGTGATAGAAAGTACTAAAGTGATAATTAATTATAATTATAGAGGAAAAATAACATTTTTTTTATATTACAATGAAATTATTTGTAATCCCTATATATCAAATAGAAGAAAATTGTGTGTTTAAACATATTCAAAATCAAGTTTTCTGCGGGAACTAAATGATCTCGGTGTTAAAAGAATTGTTGTTATTTTTTGAGGTCTCGGGTTCGAGCACCAAGAATGTTAGGGGTGTGAACATCTAATGTCAAATGCTTAAGAGTTATCTTTAAGCAGATACTATCTTGTATTTACCCTAAATTAATGAGGAAAAATCAAGCTTTCTAAATTATTACAATAATAAAAGAATATAACTAAATTAAGACTCAATTAAAAATATAAATGTTGAATTATATAGAGCTCTCGCATCATCACATCGACTACTTATTATCATAATGTTTGGTTCCTTTGTAGGAAAGAATAATAGTGGTTAAATGTTGAGCCACATAACTTGTATCTAATAAGCATCTCTTACGTTGTTTATAATCCATACTTAACTTATACATGTTGAGCTCAAAGTATAGAAAAAAGTCAAATTATAAAAAAACTAATATGATTTAACAAATGGAGGAAAGCACATATACATATGTTTTATCGACAACAAAGATAAGAATAGAATAACAACCGTGGGGACGAATATTGATGTTTTGGTTTCCAAATTATAAGTTGCAAAGATGGATTAGGTTTTGTGCTCTTAAAATATTATTATATTTCATTATGATGTTCTTTGTTTATCAACTTTCCTTTTCCATTGTTAACGACACAATGTAATCTAGTGGCCTGTCCCTAACAAAATTGAATTAAGAAAAACTACGGATATATAATTGGAATTTAAACTTTAAAAAATCTATACATATTCGTGCATGATAAAGATTTTTTTTTTATTAATTTAGATCGAATGCAATATAGTATTTGTTCAAAGATTCGCAGTTACTTAACAATGAACGTTTGTACACTCTTGCATACGCTGTGTTTAATCATAACAACAATTCTTTAACCACTTAGATCGCTTGGTTCGTCCTATGTATGATAATATTTAACTATAAGTGTTTAAAGATAGAGAATATCATCTCTGATCAGTTATATATATATATATATATATAGTTTTACACAGATCTATGATTATTGGATGAATGAAAATATATGGTTAAAATTAATAATAGGAAATGAGAAGATATTGTTGACCCATCCAGGGCGGAACACAAGCTAGACTAGAGGGGGTCATGCCCCCAAAATTTAAAAAATTCTTATTTTGACCCTTAAATTAAAAAATTGCCCCCTCAACATTTTTAGAAATTCAAATTAAATTTTAATTTTTAATGTTATTAATTAAACCCCTCTCATAATTTTTAGAAATTCTCATTAAGCCTTTCAAAAATTGTAGTTAAACCCTAATTATTTTTTGGAAAAAAATATAAACTAAACCCTTCAAAATTTTTAAAAATCTCAATTCAAACCTCTACATTTTAAATTTTTTTAAGTTGGGCCCTTAAACTTTATCACCAAGTTTCACCACTGGACCCATCATTGGAAAATTTGAACTTAAAACATTTGATGGCGGGAAATTATACATATGATTTATATAAAGTAGAACTTAAGTTCTAATATTCAAATATTTGTGGTCTTTATTTTTGTTAATTTGTCAAGACTAGATTAATATGTTTTTAGAATTTAAAGAGTTTTACATTTTATTTAACATTCACTTTAAATTTTATGACTCTCCAAACATGTAAATTTCATCCTTTGAAATACGTCTGAATTCGTATTGCTCGTGTGGTTCTTGTTGGGAAAGGAAAAGGGAAACTAAAGAAAAATGAACACGAGAGCTGTTTGATCATATGACAGCTAGTGAGCAGAAGAATAAAGAAATCTCCAACACCAACATAAAATATAAATTTTAAATTTGTTGGCATTACTCTACTTTTCTTATATTATAATTATTACTATCAAAACATGAAAGCTGCAACCTGCCTACTTTCAAACAAATTGGATCTTCCATTTCCATCAAAACAAAATGGGAACAAGAAGAGGGAATAATTGAGAGTTTAATATATTGATGCACACCAGTTGTGACAGCTGAGAAACAACAAAATTAAGGGAATGAAATGTTTGGTTGGTGGCTACTTGGGCTAATATGGACAAGCACAATCCCATTTCTTCTCCCTTCTTTGTTGCACAAATTTGAGAACAAGTGGATAAGAGAAAGACCCCACCACCCAATGTTCCCCCGGCAACCACCGCCTAAAGCCCTAAGCCATTATTTCTTCTCTGCATCGTTACTCCTCTTCAAATCAAGTTATAGAGTCACTATAATGGTCTTCACATTGTCGGAACCGTCTTTCGGGTGGGTCCCGGAATTGGGTTTCAACTTGATAAAATGGATTAAGAGTCGCCACCGATCATTTATTTAAAAATAAATAGGTTGACCGGATATCCTATTTCTTACATACTCTGCATCGTGCCAGAGATGTGTCGGATTCGGGAGTCGGTTACAGTCAAGTAAGGGTTA